TCGTCTCTTCTACTCCAATAGCTTCATGTCTCGCACCTCTCGCCTGCGGAACTCCCTTCCTTATTCCAGTTTCTCTGAGAGCTATAATCTCCTGCTATTCAAATGCAATGTCAAACGACATCTCCAGCTGTCTTGATCTATCCACTACCCTTCTCCTCATCCTTTCTTCTATCACTCCTATCTGATCTTGCTCCAAATTTTCTGTAACCCCTTGCGTCCTATTATGGCTTCCTGCCTTGCTTGGGGAAATATATTAAAATATATATAAAATATATATATATATATATATATATATATATATGTGTGTGTGTGTGTGTGTGTGTGTGTGTGTGTGTGTGTGTGTGTGTGTGTAAAAATATAGAAAATAGGAAAGAACTCGTTAGGTAAATAATCCAAAAGTTCTTTAGTGTTTTTGTTATTATTTTTTAAAAATAGTGCTCGATACAAAAGTAGTGCATATATATAATTATTTATTTAAAAATATGATTCCATCGCTACGTATATATATATATAAACATCCAACGCAAATATTTCCTACATACGACGGGGCTATTTCCAAAGTGGAAAATAACTTTTCAATGAAACTGTGCATTGAAAGGAAAGAAAAAATTTTATAGATAAATTGAATAGTCGTCACACCTTATATTTAAACTATTGTATTACCCATTATAAAAGATTATCAAAGAGCAAAGTGTACGGGATGAGTGTATGAAATATTGATAGAATTGAGGTATTGACAAATATCTATGGAGATGTTTCGCAGCCAAATTGAATATCAAATCAAAGCGGCTAGAAAAAACATTTCGAACACACATGAGAATAACTTACGTTATTAGGGGAATTTGTGTGTTAAATTATTATATCTATATTTGGCATAAACAGATAATGACCAAGTTATCATCCTTAGATAGATAGATAGATAGATAGATTATGACCAAATTATCATCCTTAGATAGATAGATAGATAGATAGATAATGACCAAATTATCATCCTGAGATAGATGATGATAGATATAGATAGATAGATAGATAGATAATAGATACTATAATGACGAGTTATCATCCTTAGATAGATAGATTGATGATCGATTAATAATGACCAAATTATCATCCTGAGATAGATGATGAATAGATAGATTATGACCAAATTATCATCCTTAGATATTAGATGAATGAAATATGATAATGACCAAATTATCATCCTGAGATAGATAGATAGATAGATTATGACCAAATTATCATCCTTAGATAGATAGATAGATAGATAGATAGATAGATAGATAGATAGATTATGACCAAATTATCATCCTTAGATAGATAGATAGATAGATAGATAGATAGATAGATTATGACCAAATTATCATCCTGAGATAGATGAGATAGATGAATAAAACAGATTATCATCCTGAGATAGATAGATAGATAGATAGATAGATAGATTTATAATAAATGACCAAATTATCATCCTTAGATAGATAGATAGATAGATATAGATAATAATAAAAAAATTATCATCCAAAATTAGATAGATAGATAGATAGATAAATAGATAATAGATAGATAGATAATAGATAATAAAAGTTATCATCCTACATGATAGATAGATAGATAATGATACATTTATCATCCTTATATATATATATATAAATATATATATATATATATATATATATATATATATATATATATATAGATAGATAGATAATAAGTTATATCATCCTTAGATAGATAATAGATAATAGATAGATAGATGATGAAACAAAACAAAGTTATCATCCTTTTTTGACATATAGATAAAGAGATAGATAGGTAATTTAAATTAGATAAATAGATAGATTAGGAGAACAAACATCAATAGATAGATAGATAGATAGATAGATAGATAGATAGATAGATAGATAGATAGATAGATAATGAACTAGTTATCATACTTAGATACATAGATAATGACCAAGTTATTATATATATATAGAGAGAGAGAGAAAGTGAGATATGCATGAAAATATGAATAATTATTTAGTTCTTCATTTTTTTTTAAAAGGTGCAGTATGGACAGCGTTCAAAATATCAGAATTTTGAATGAATGAGTTAGACATGTGAGGAAGGTTTTATATCGAAGAAACCACGTCATTCGTGTACTTTCTATGCTGATGACGAATGTGATGGAATATAAGTGGACTTGTTGTCCCAGACACTTCTGGGATTACCATGAAACACAAGGAATATGAAAATTTATTCAAAAACCAGGTTTAACAGATAAATAACAGATGCGTATGATCAGTTTCCAGTGCATACATCACGGGGACTGATAAAGTTTGAGGTTTGAACCTTTTTTTGATCTAAGGATATTCGCCAAAAGCTATCAAAATGAGATGGAATATAAACGACAAATATTTACCTGTCACAGAATCAAATGAATACATATGGATTCCAATCGACTCTAAAATAAATGCTGAATATTTATTTACTGTTTTTAATTGTACTTATCATGAGCGCTCACAAAGATCTAATAATTCGTCAGTTTTTTTTTTTTAATGGATATGACAGGATTTATCTATCTTGGATAATTCCAAGAACGTTCAAGATAAGCAAACGCCAATTGTGAAATCTGTTAAACCTGAAATAAGTTGTAAATGTGTAAGTAATTTTTTTTTTATTTATTTGTTTTATTTATTTATTTTTTGGTGTTAAAATGTTTCATTGTCTTGGATCCATATATATATATGATGTGTGTTATATGTAAATTAGAAACTACTGATAGATCATCTAACAACAATAACACAATACAAAATTCATAATATTTCACTATAGCACTCTTTCAATTAATTTTTTTACGTAAGTCTCTATCTATAAAAGGCAGGATGTGTGTGTGTGTGTGTGTGTGTGTGTGTGTGTGTGTGTGTGTTGTGTAACGAATGCACCGCCGCAATTTTCGACGGATTTGCACCAAAATTTACATGCACATGCTCCAAGTTAGCGGGAAGGCCAAGACCGACTTTGCATTTCCCAACTTCCATCGATAGTGGAAATAATCGATTTCATGATTCTACCGCAGTTTTCATGTAGTTTGGGGTGAGAGCCTATAGCTGGCTGCCACGAATATGTAGGAAGATTCTACTGGCCAGAGTGAGAGCCAACAGCTGACTGACACGAATGTTAACTAGCATGCTAGCATACAAAAAAATCGATAGCTGCATTCGTCACAAGCGAGAAAAATGTAAATCTGCATGGTACTTTACTCATTCGCTTGCTTAAACTCAACGTTGATTCTGATTCCGCAGAACTGGGTTGGATGTGAAAAAGTATTTGTTATTAACATTCTTTTTTCATTCGGTTTTTCCAGATACGAGTCCTTTTCTTAAAGCTGATCGTTTTGTGTTCATTTTGTTTGTTTTTTTCGTAACAGATTTAATGTTTCCTATAGAGCTTAGAAAAAGTTTGCAGTATGAGATAGGCAAGAAGTAAGGCATGTAGCAACATCAGCACGGAAAAGGGCACTCCTTTAAAGGCAAGGAAGGGCAAAAATATTGTAAGTCAAATAATAGCGATTACTGTATGAGTCGTACGATTTTTGAATCAAGCACGGGCAACGCCGGGCCATGCTGCTAGTTTGTTATAACTAAAACTAGGATCTTTACCACTGCATCAAAGAGAATCGAAAATCTATTTAGAAAGGACAATCGATCCTGATTCAATTCAAATGTCAATAATTATCACATTTCAATGTGAAAGAATGCATGTCGGAGAGACATCACAAAATCTAAAAAATTATATCTACGAACAAAAGAGAGATTTCTGTTTAGACAAATATTCAAACTCTCTCATAAAACACAGGAAAAATAACAGTCCATTACTTTGATTTTACTAACGTCACCGTAATGAAAAAATAACATAATTCTTTACGAAGAAAGTGCTTTGAAGGTCTACTATTAACAATATTACCGACTATAAAAACACGTCAAAAAGGCTATATTATATGATCAATCTTTATAGAATCCATTCGTAAACAATCTATCGTATGTTTATTTGAAACAAACGGTATGTACGTAAAAAATATTCCCAAATCCACTTGCGAAAAACAAACATAATGTACACTTCACACACACGCACACACAGTTACGAATAGACATAATAATCTGAATCCCACATAAACGAACTATTATTATATATTTACACAGAGAAAACGATTTTTACTGTTTTTTTGGGAAGGCTTGAAATCTGTCACTTCTTGAACTGGGAACGCCACACATTCAACTAACGTTGATTTTAAAAAGTCGAATTCACAGGAAACATGATTAACCAATAGAAATCAAACAACACAAAAGTAATAATACTAACATTTCTTCTTTTTCTCCATATCTCATTCTCTTATTTAACATTAATAAACGTGAAACATGTTAGATTGATAAACGTTTCCTAATTTTCTTTATCTTATCATATATACCGGGTGTAACAGCAAAATTGTCCAAAGCGTGTAACAGCATAATTGTCCATCCCACAAAAGGTTTAATATCTAAAAATCCACGAAACTAACTGAGTTGTCTTCCAGGTTTTCGGATAAGACGTTTAGCCATCTTGACACCATTTGTCGTAAGAATCACTGAAAAACACTTTGAATTATTCAGCTAGACCGAAAACAGGTTAAAAAACAGTTTTGTGTAAGCCACACTATGTCTTCCCAAATGAGCAATGGTAAGAGGAAAAAGATCATTCACACCTTCAGTAATGGCACAAAAATTAATATTTTACTTTCCATCTTCAAAGTCTATTCAAGAACCATGAAGAAAAACCGTGAATAATTTTGAAAAAAAGAGGGAACAGTAGAGATAAAAACTGGATCAGGAGGTCACAACAGCAAGAGGGATTATCATTTCTACTTACAGCTAAAGAGATCAATTAGAAAAGATCCAACTCAATGAAAGGCGACAGGGCCACACAGACGCACGCACGCACACACTGGCTAATGAAACTGAACAAATCTAGAGATTGAAGAGAATCTAATGTTAGATATCTTTCTCGTTGTTTCATTAGTCAACACATCGACTACATTAGAGCAAGGGAAGCTACGTTTGGCAAATCTCTTTCTCGACCGCCGACGATACATCCAACATGAGACAGGTAAACACGCAAGAATCCTCATTGAATTTCTGTTTGAAATAATGTAATTTTGTGTTCGAATATTTTGTAATTCCCAAGCTAAATAAATAATATCTATTCTGGCAACATCGAAATACAAAACCCAATTAACAAAAAAAAAACAAAAAACAGCTCATCCGGTTTAACAAATTCTCTCTATTCGGAGCTCAAGTGAAGTAATGTGAACAGCGTGCAAAATGACTCTATGTTATATAATCAAACCATAGAGTAATTATCAGTTTATATATATATATATATATATATATATATATATATATATATATATATATATATATATCCTTTCCTATCTAAGGCAGACGGAAATACAAGCGTGATAGTGAACAGTGTTTAACATCCTGTAAATATATTGTATATCTTTTTGTTTGTATCTGTCTGAGATAAAGTATTATGTACACTATTTACATTATTCGGACTATTGTCCTCATCTTTGTCGCCATATTTATTACAACGTTTCG